ACTTTAGATATTATTTTATGCATATTACACAATATAACAAATGAGTACATAATTGGTATTAATAACAAAGATTCTCAGTGTTATCAAAAGATGTTCCAATATAAAATGTTTTTTTAAAACCCTATAATGTTAAACTTATACTGGAAATAGTATGAATTTTTTTAAAAGATTTTTCCTAGTTCTACTTACAGGAAAGGCAGAGGACCAATGATACCTAGTAGCAATGAACAAACCTAGCAACCAGATCTTGGTTTTTAAATGCCATATCCCACTAAAAGGAATTATAGCTCCTTGGAGAAATGGTTTGTTTCATATCTGGGACACAGAAAGTACTAGATAATATGAGACATGTGTCAAAAAGTAAGAAAGTGCCCAAAGATCAACTGAATCATGAGAAAAGGACACAGAGAACTAGTTCGAATCACGTGCTACTGGTTAAATTCAGGATCTTTGGAAAGATCTTTGGAAAACCTAATCACTCAGAGATAACTTACTGACTGTACAATTTCAACAGGGAGATCTGAAGGGTATGGCCTTAATAAAATCAGCAGACTTAGTTAACACTATTACTGGGATAACCTGATATAATGTGCCTTCTTATATGACATAATATGAAGTATACAACTTAACCTAGAAATTTTGAATGGCAAAATACTTAACCTGAATATAATCAATTCTCTGGATCCAATTTAGAATAATACAGAGGACTGGGATGCATGTAAAACGATACCATGAGGTTATAGTCAGACAAATCCAGAATATGGGACACTCCATAAGAAAAAAAAAAAAGTTGGTAGCAGTGTGGGAGTGGAAAGGTCAGTGTACTGTTGTAGGTTAAAAAGAGTTAATCATTAACAACTAAATGCAGTGCATGAATCTAGATTTTTTTTAATGTGTAAAAGATTATTTGGACAATTGAGAAAATCGAACCCTATATGGGCTGAATATTATATGATGTTATTGAATAATTGTTAATTTTCTTAGCTGTGATAATGGTATTGTGATATTAGAAACAAATGCTTATTTTTATGAGATGCATTCTAAAATATGTAGGGGTAAATGATTCTTAATCTTCAGTTTACTTTCAAATGGTCCACACCAAAGATATACATGTATATATAAAGAGATGGGGAAATGTGGAAAAAGTTAATATTTGTAGAAATTTGATAGAGGTTACCTGAATATTAAATTATTCTTTCACCTCTTTAAGATGTTTAAAATTTTTTGTAATAAAATGTTAAGGTAGGAAAATGTGTCTTTATGGGAAAAAAATTTGCAAATATTTAGAAATATTAAAGTGCAAGCAGAATCCAGAAAATTAGAGGGGGGGTGAGAAGAGAGTAAATATAAAGACCAAGAGACCAAGACTGACAGTTTTAACATCTAACTAACACATACAGCAGAAATAAAGAAATGAAAATTGTTGAGTAAGAAATTATCAAAAAAAAATAGGAAAATTTTCACAAACTTGAAAAATATACCTTCAAATTGAATGTTTCCAATGATTGCTAAATGGAAGAAATGAAAAGAGACTAACAGATTTATCCTGGTGGCGTTTCAGATCTCCAAAGACCAATAGAAAAGCCTAAAAGTTCTGTATAAAGAAACAACAATCAGCCCAGCATCAGTCTTATCATGAGCAACAATGAATGGAATATGTCTTCTAAGTCTAAAGAGAAAATAATATTAAGTATAAAATTCTACAGCCAGCCAAGCTATCAGTTCAAGCAATAAGCAAAGTAAAATCATTTCCAAATATGCAACCCAAACATTTACTGTCCATATACTCTTTCTTAAGAATTACTTGAAGATGTTCATTAGTAAAATAAAAATAATATCAAAACTACAGGAAGATGCAGGATATAAGAAACAGTAAAAAAGTAAATCTCAGGTTGATTGCTATGAATCAAACCTAGAAAGCAATCGAGAAATTAAAACAGGAAGTCACAGACCCCCAAGATGTATTTTGTTTAAAGACAAGTAGAATGATTTTAAGCAATAAACAAATTAGTAAAAGATGGGAAGAGACACACAAAGATTAGTAAAAGAGAAAGGAATATGATAAGGACAGCATATAACTTTTCTCCCATACAGAAGAACAATCAAAAATGAAATTGAGAATTCAATTTCTTTCACAATAGCATCAAAAAGAATAAAATATATATAAATACTTTTAAAGTATAATACCTATACAACAAAAACTATAAAACATTACTAAGAAAAATTTTAAAATATCAATATATAAATGGAAAGATATCCCATGTTCATGGATTATAACACTCAATATTGTTAAGATGGCAATTCTCCCCAAACTGATCTACAGATTCAAGGCAATTCTTATCAAAATCCCAGCAGGCTTCTTTTTAGAAACTGACAGGCTGATCCTAAAATGTATATAGTAATAAAAGGCCCAAAACAGTTTTGAGAAAGAACAATGTTGGAGGAATTATAATACTTAATTTCAAAACTTACTATAAAGCTATAGATAACAAAACAGTGTGCTACTGGCATAAGGATAGACATATGGATCAATTGAACTGAATAGAGACTTCAGAAATAAATCCTTATATTTGTGGTCAACTGATATCTACAAAGATACCAATGCAATTCAATTGAGAAAAGATAGTCTACTTTTAACAATCTGTGCTGGTACAACTGGTATCTGGGCAGTAAAGTATTAACTCAGCAGGCTCAGTTTCCCAAACCCTAAACATTCCAAAGGCTCTAGAACTGCTGGGAAATAAACTTTTAGGGAGGCTTTTGAATACCCTGCCTGAAAAGAGTGTCTTTGTATATCTGAAACCTTAAGCCATACCAGAAGTTAAGGCTAACAGCATGATTTATAGTAAACATCTGTTTTTGTATGCCTAAGGCTTTGGTTTATGTTCTATCAGTTGACCTCTAGGGGACTGGAGACTGAGAACATAAGTATGATCATCACATTGATTTCCAATAAAAATTCTGCACATGGGTAAGCTTCCCTGGTTGGCAACACTTTACATGTGTTGTCACACATTGTTTCAGGGAGAATTAAGCACTAACCATGCCAGACTAGGAGAGGACAACTAAAAGCTGGTACTTGGTTTTTCCTAAAATCTGTTCTAAGCATACTTTTTCCTTTGCTGATTTTAATTTATAATAAACATTTCTGTAATAAACTGCAGCCACAAATATAACAGCTTTTCTGAATCCTATTAGTCCTTGAGCAAATCATCAAACCTGAGAGTGAAGACTCTATAAAGTAAAAAAAAAAAAAAAAAAATTTAGACTTTCTCTTATACTCACAAAAAAAATTAACTCAAAATTGATCATAAACTTAAATGTAAAAGGTAAAAGTATAAAACTTCTAGATGAACAATGGAGAAAATCTTAGTGACCTTGGTTTAGGCAAAATTTCTTAAATATAACACTAAAATAATGATTAAAAGGAGAAATAATTGATAAGTTGAACTTCATCAAATTTAAATACTTTAGCTCTTCAAAAGTTACCACTAAGAAAATAGAAAACGATCTATAGATTGTTTTATATAAAGATATGAAAATATAAAGAAAATGTCTTCAAATTATGTATCTAATTTAAAAACTTGTATCTAGAATAAGTAAAACTCTTAAGGCTTAATAAAAAAAAAAAAAACAATTTTAAAATAAGCAAAAGATTTGAATAGACATTTCACCAAAGAAGGTATACAAATGGCTTAAGATGAAAAGATGCTCAACATCAGTAGGAATATGCAAATTAAAACCATAACAGAATACTACTGTATAACTATTATAATGGCTTTAATCAAAAGGGATGATAATACCAAGTCTTGGTAAGGATAATGGGAAAATGCAACTCTCATGCATTGCTAGTGGGAATGTAAAATGGTACTGCCACTTTGGAAAACAGTTTGGCTATTTCTTTCAAAAGTTAAATATATACTTACCATGTGACCCAGTGATTCTACTCTTTGAAAGAATGAAAGTATATATCCACAAAAAGATTTGCATGCAAATATTATAGCAGTGTTACTCATAATAGCCAAAAATTGGAAATAATTTAAATGCCCCTTAACTTGTGGTAAATGGATAAACAAAATACAGTATATCTACTCAGGCATTAAAAAAAAATGAAATCTTACCATTTGCAACGACATGGATGGACTTAGAGAGTATTATGCTAAATGAAATAAGTCAGAGAAAGACAAATACCATATGATTTCACTTACATGTGGAATCTAAAGAACAAAACAATGAATAAACAAAACAAAAAGAGACTCATAGATATAGAGAACTAACTAGTGATTGCCAGATGGGAGTGGGGTTGAGGGCTGGATGAAAAAGGTGAAGGGATTAAGAAGTCCAAATTGGTAGTCACAAAATAGTCATGGGGATGTGAAATACAGCATAGGGAATACAGTCAATAATATTTTAATAACCATTTATATTGCCAGGTGGGTACTAATCAGGGAAATCATTTCGCAAATTATATAAATGGTTAACCATTATGTTGTACACCTGAAACTCATATAAAATAATACTGAATGTCAACTCTAATTGAAAAACAAAAATTAAAAAAAATATGGTATATCTATACAATGGAATACTACTTAGCAACAAAAAAGTTAAAACAACAATATGGATGAACCTCAAAAACATACCAGAAACAAAAGACTACATATTATGTGATTCCATTTTTACGAAGTATACAGAAAAGGCAAATTGATAGAAACCGAAAACAGATGAGTCCTTGCCTGGAGCTAGGGGGTGACAGCAGTAATTAACTGGGAAGAAACCCAAGGGAACTTCTGGAGGCAATGGAAATATTCTAACCCTAAATAAGGTGATGAGCTCACAACTCTATAAAGTTGCTGAAAAATCATCGACTGTATACTTATAATGGATGAGTTTTATGGTAGATAAGTAATATCCCAATACAGCTGTTAAAAAAAAAAAAAAAAAAACTCCAGACTCCGCGACCAATAGCCAGAGAGCAGATCCAATTCACTCCTCGCTGCCTCGCTCAGCTTCTTCTGCAACCATGTCTGACAAACCCGATATGGCTGAGATTGAGAAATTCGATAAGTCAAAATTGAAGAAGGCAGAAATGCAAAAGAAAAACCCACTGCCATCAAAAGAAATGATTGAACAGGAAAAGCAAGCAGGCGAATCGTAATGAGGCACGCACCGCCAATATGCACTGTACATTCCACAAGCATTGCCTTCTTATTTTACTTCTTTTAGCTGTTTAACTTTATAAGATGCAAAGAGTTTGGATCAAGTTTAAATGACTGTGCTGCCCCCTTTTCATATCCAAGAACTACTGACAACGAAGGCCACACCCACCTTTCCCACCTGCCTGTGGCTGGCAGGGAAGGAAAAGAACTTGCATGTTGGTGAAGGCAGAAAAGACGGATGGGACGAAAGTGAAATCTAGAGTGAAAATCAAGCTGGTCCAAGGCATCTTGCAGGCTGTAAAATGCAGCTTAATCAGAGTGCTATTTATATATATATATTATATATATAACATATATATATTATGTAATATATATATATTGGGGGTTGCTATCCAAATTGTTTTAATTATTGGAATGCACAATTTTTAAATATGCAAATAAACTTTTAAAATCTGAAAAGAAAAAAACTCCAGAAAATAATAAAATTCCATATGAAGATGTCATGGACCACAGGTGAAGTAACTAAAATGAGGCATGTTTTGATTCATTGGTGGAGTGTACGAAGGAGACTCTTCACGTGAGTGGGATTTATAATACTGAAATATAGAAAAGGAATTATAATCAGAGTACTTTTGTTTAGCAATTAACAAATTTTACATATCGTAAAAACACAAACTTTTTTTTATACACAGCATGGAAGATTTTAATCATGGTTACAAAAATATATTCAAGTTATCTCCCCTATGATGACCTCACCAGACTTAAGAGAGGTTAAAGAAAGGGAAAGGATGTTAATGGGCTCATCTTTAAAGAAAGGGATATTGGGAGTCTGGATATACAGTTGAAAGTTGATACAGCCAGAGATAGAAGTTTAATACTAATACTGGAAATTACTGAGGTAACTAATACAGAAACTAAAACAGTGACTTTACCATCAAAAATTAAGAGAAAATAGTATACGTAAACTCTACCCCCATATATCATTATGAAATCCCAGAGAGTAACCAGTCCCTGGACTTGCATCAATTCCTGCCTTTGTGAGCTAAAGTAGTTGGGGTTCTACTGGATTTCTGTGGACTCTCCTCTCTGTTGCTGTTCAGCTTACATTAATTTTTAAATTTTAATTCTGTATTCCATTCAATCGAAAGGACACATAGTAAAGCATTATGTGAAGATAGACATGTTATTTTAAGTGATCTAATTAGACCTATATGATAATAAGTCTCAGCATTAGGAAGTTCTCCTGACTGCAGCCATAAAACATCCTCCAACCTTAGAAATGTATCAGTAACTGATAAGATATTTTGACCTCCATTTACATTAAACCTTTGTTGCTAATTCTCAATTGATTCAAAACTGGTGGGGAGAAGTGCTATTTATTTGGTTCTCATAAAGATCACATACTACCTATATTATGTTTGCACTTTTGAAAAATATGTGTGTTAGAGCATAAAAAAAGAAGACGAAACAGATATGCTAACATGCATTCAATAATTATCGCTGAGTGATAGCATAATAGGCAAGATTTATTTTCTTCTTTTACTCTTGTGGGTTTCTTGAATTATTTTCCAAAAAAAATCTGCGTTAATGAGAAATGAGAAAAAATATATTTATTTCCATTTTGTAAATTCAAAAAGGTTAGGCTTCATATCAGGGAAAGGCATGATGGCCAAAGGAAGGAAAAAAGGAGGTGCATTTGCTCATCAGCAGCCAACTTAATTACAACTGTAAAGCATTCTTGTAAGTATTAGGTAAGACCTCGTCTTAGGGCTGGCCAAAATCAGTTTTTATGCTCAAAATCCTCATAGCCAACAACCCCTCTGCCTGGATTAGTTTCACATACTTCTCTAGTCACGGTTAGAAACTTTCTGATAACATTTTAGTACTAAAATCTTGAAAAACTTTAAGAGAGCATCGTCACGCTTAGATTCATTATTTGGAGATCAATAAAGAGAACTAGGAATAGCATATAATGTAATCCTAATATAGTCTACCCTGCTGCTAAGTAAAGTTGCTTTCTCTTTTCTCTGACCAACAATATGGCTTGCACCCAAACAGTTACTACTTGGGGCTAGAGTTAGAAAATATTCTCTTCCTAATTTATGTTCCATTGACTTTTATGATGGCAGGTATTGATCTTGCTTTGCGCCTTCAGATCAGATATTGTAACACAATTTAGGGCCAAGGTCATGACTGTAGGTGATCAGCCTTTAATGTACAGAAGAAATGAGGTAGAAAAATGATTTATTTTGCTTTTGTATGGACTTTTTTTACAGACACAGATGCTAGGGGACTTTTCCAGCTAGAATCAGCCATAGAGTGGGGCAGGTGAGCTGCCCCACTCTCCTGGAGTGCCACAACCATAAAACAAACTGAACATTCCAGGAATGACTCATTTTATTAAAGGAGCCAAAAACAGCACTGAAAGTAAAAGAAGAAAAGAGCAAGAATCATTTTTCAATAGGGTTACTAATGAATTCTAAGCATGGGAAAAAAAAATGATGGAGAAATGACTATCTGATCACTATATTAAATTAGATCAATTCAAAAATTATTAATATCTTTGTTCCAGAGCTGATAGCACAAGTGGCTTGACTTGGCTTGGCTTTTGGCAATGTCCTTTTGTTACATATATTCCTTTATTGTTTTCTCTGAGTATTTTCTAAAGAGACTGACTTCATTGTTAGAGCAGAACCATATATGTCAAATCCCACACAATGCATTCCAAGACACTGATATTATTCTGTTGGGCTGGAATGCTGTTGCATCAGATACACTGGCTATAGGAAGTACATGGACCACCTGAGCCCTGGAGATCTTATAGTTATAAATAAGTTCTTATTGTACTGAGATGTCTATAAGAACTCTCACTGTCTTGTTATACACATGTGGAAGTTAAAAAAAATGTGACATTTTCGAAATTGTGCATCTTTGAAGAACAGGAGTAGTAAGGGAAACAAGTGATTTCAATATGCATCCAAAGCTGATAACCATGGCTCTAGGTCCATCCCTTCCCAAGTGTTCTGAATACGACAGAGCAACTGCTTCAAAGACAATGCTCACCAACATGTCAACATTTAAATAGAAATATTTTGTTTCCCTAGAGAAAATAAATTCTTGGAGAGCAAGGATTGTTTTATCTTTCCTTTGAATAATTTACCAACACCTGGATAAGTAAATAATAGGTCCTCCAGAAACATCTGTTGAAATAAATCACTAGTCTTCACCTGAGAATGGGGTCACTCTATGACTTAAAATGCAAATGAAATTTTCCCCAATCACCGGTCCACATGCATGGAAGGTCCACTGCCTTTAGTAATATTTCTATAAATGTCCAGGAGATTCACATTCTCAAAGTCACCTCTGCTGTTAATTTCATGCCCCTGCTGAATTTTTATTTCCCATCCCCAAAGCATCAAAGCACACAAGACCTTTAGCATGGACTCCATTCTACCTGTTCTAAAAGTCCTTTTTGTCATCCTGGCGCCAGAGATTTCTCACTTGTTTTGCCACCCCAGGCGACCAGTCTTAGCATCATGATGGCTGATGACTCCCCACTCCTTTCAAGTTATCTCTTCAGCCTCCACCTACTTCCAGCTCCTAGGTCCTTCCATTTATAGGACAGATCTGCTCTCCCAGCAACTGCTAAACAGCTTCAAGCTCAACTTTGCACCTACACATTTATGTGTCCTACATAACATGATGGGGTATCTGAAACCTTTTAGCAGCACAAAGTGACTGGGAGAGACCCTGAGATTATCATTTTCAACAGTTCCCAACTGGGGGTATGCTGCCCCCTTGCAGGAGGAGGCAGAAGGCTAGAGATGTACAATGGAACGTTGGTTCCCCCAATACTACTCTTTCGGATGTTAACTACTATATCTAAAAAACACCACCTAAGATCCAAAATTTGGTTGGAAATTTCAGTATTATTCCACCTTTAATACTGTAATTTACGTGGATTGCTAAGGTGCTTCTAAAACTTTGAGGCTAGTCCATTATATAAACAGGAAACATTGGTCATGTGCTAATGCTGGCTATGTGGTAATATACTTTAAAACAAACTGTGTGACATCTATTTTAAAATAGACTGTGAGATGACTAAATAGGCATCTGTTTAGTATTTGAAATACACTTATCAGAAATACCACCCTCCAGAGGATTTCAGTAAGAACTTCAAATATGGTTATTGGAATCAACACCACACAGTTTATTTATTAGCTTAAGGATTGTTAGAAATTATTTTTCTCTGGCAAAAAAGAATGAGAATAAGTGTGATTCAGGATATATCATAGGTAGAAAGATTGTTAGGGCCTCACCAACCTTTCTTGAACCAGGAGAATAAAATCAACAACCCCAGTATCCTAATCCTTGGGGCAATCTAGAGTTCTATTTGGTCCTTTGTCCTTCCCACTTCACAGAAGCCTTGCCAACTGACCCAAATAGAAAGTTAGCATCTAGTCACAACAATGGTGTTGCATCAGTCTCACAGAGAATCTCTCACTTAAGAGTCTTACAAAAATGCCAAAAGTCAGAGAAATGAGGACCTCGCTATGTTTACAAGAATAGGTAGTGTGACTATTTTGGTATCCTCTTGCTAATAAAAATAGGAAGGTTTGGCAAAATTTGATCTAAGTCTGTTTTCAATATAAAATACCACCTAGTATAAACACTGGGGGTGTAGCGAAGATCATACAAGGAATTTTGTGGAATTTTAACAAATGGACCTGAATATTGCTAACTGGTCAAATTAGCTAAGATCAGTTCACATTACAGAGCTGTCCTGTCTCTAAACAGAAAAATTTGAGATGCATTTTATAGGACCAAAGTGGCTCTCAATTTAAGAATCATTAACTGTGCCAACCCCCCAGTCTTAAGTGAGTTCAGATACTAGTCCACGCCCATACAACAAATTAAGGACTGAGCTATGCTGAAAGCCTGTGACATTCTAAACCTCAGATTCCCAAAATTTCTAAGATCTTAAGCATCTCTTTCTCACCACACCTCAGGGGTTTTGTTTTGTGTTTTGTTGGTTGGGTTGGGTTGGGTTGGGTTGGGTCTGGTGTTATATTTCAGAGAAGTACTGAGTATTATAGCAGCATTTTTAAGCTGTGATCCTCAGGCTTTAGTATGCATGAGAATCAGTTCAAGAGCTTTATAAAACTGCAGGTTCCATTCCCAAACTTTACTCCCTGTATTTCACTGTATTTAAGGTAGAACCCAGAAATCTGCATTGTTTTGACTCAACTTTTCAGGCAACTTGGATATAAATGGCCTGGAACTATGGTTGAATAAATAAATACCCTCTAGAATGTTCACTT